GGCTTATGGGATTTCAAGTATAATTGGAAAATCCTATTTGTCCGGGTTTGTCCATGGAAAAATCCCAAATCCCAAACGTTTGTGTGGCATATATACATGAAACTATTGCAAGACAGAAGGTCCAGCATGTAGAAGCATATACAATAACTGTGGGAAAGTTTTTAACTGAGAATGTATATATATAATTTTATTTTATTTTATATTATTTTATATATATATATATATTTATTTATTTATTAATTGTTAATAATTTTTTTTTAACAGATAGAAAGCTTGGTCATTCTTAATGTGGACAATTTTCATAACATTCATGAATCTCGTCGTAGTAATACAACTATCACACATGACATCTCACATTTTATTACAATACTCTTAAAAGCAGTGCCTGAAGCGATGTCGATTCCATTTAATAACCCTGGTCAAGAAAAGAGTATCCATAATGAAAGGGGTATTGATTCGGAAATTATTATAACTAACGCATACTTATATTTTTTTCTTATTTATAGCTTAGCTACACAGGATGAAAAGGTGCATTTGCTAAATTTGTATTTGCGCAAGAAACCCATGATGAAAGAGCCGAACGTCTTCTTATTCACAGCTATGACGATAGAATTGAACAACGTCGGGAAGATAGGAGTATGGCAAACACGAAACTTGTTTGCTTAAAGGAAGGATCTCTTCATTCAACTGAGGAATATGTAAATGCTGTTAAGCATTTAATAAATATTCCTGAAGCAAAAGTCTATATAGAAATGCAAGTACTAGTAGCACCAATGGACTATCCCAGGCAACTTCATGTACGGCGTGGAATTACTCGTTGTATTAAATCTGGAGATTCTTCTGGAATACCAGAGCAAATTCTGCATATCGTTCCAATAATTGGACCTTTGCATGTATCCTTAAATAGTCGTGAAATAGTATTTCTTTTGAATTATTAATTTTTTGACTTACTTTTTCATGAGGTTTTTGGAGAAAATAAGGTTTTGGCACAAAAGCCAAAACCTTATAAAATTAATTTAATTTTAGAAATAGCATCACAGGGCTGGTCTTGAGTGCATTCTATAATTATACAGAAATTCAAACGTTCTAAAGATCCAGAAGTTAGATATTTTATCAATTTGTTAGATAACATCGTCCTGTTGGTTTTAGACTTCTATCCCATCATATTTCATAGCGGAAATTGGCAAGCCTATATTGAAGCAATGTTTCGTGTTTGGGCTATTTTTTATCAATATCAATAAAAAATTATAATAAATTGCCTTTAACATTTTTAAGTGATGTCTTTTTTTGGATTAGCACTAATCATCCTATTTCTCAAGCTCTTGTAGATTCTCTTCATGTCTTTAATGATTATTTTGTGAAAAATTTTCACAGCTCACTTCGACGGCAAATACACAGATCAAACACGGCAGACCAAATTATTACAGAAGCACAAATAGTTGATCAAATGCGCGGGAAAAATTCTTTTAAGAATACGTTTACTGAGAATCATAATATTAGATACTCAGCAAAACAGTTGGAATATCTTGAAAAGTGCACAGTGCTTTTTTTATTAAAATTTTTCAGGCAAGTCTATAAGAATCTCGGTAAATCGAAAGCTATTTCATCTGATAGAAGTTCAAATCCAGAAACGTACGAATTTCCTACAACTTCGGGCTAAAGCTGATATAAAAATATTGCCCATGGCTTGGAATACGGCACAACCTCCACAAGAAGATAGATATTGTGACTTGGAAGGCTGTATGGACTCTTGCGAGGTAGATTATATTCTAATTTGTGGACATGCTTATCATTTCGATTGTTTTTTGTCTAAATTAGAAAGCCGATACCGATACTGTATGGATTACCTTATAAGCGGAATTGAAAAGAATTGTAAGGCTTTTCAAACAACTTTGAATTTACCAGGTAAAAAGAAAAAAGACAAGAAAAAGAAGTGTGCAGATGAACCGAATGATAGTGTTGATGTTAGCGATGATACTAATATTAGTGAAAGCTTTTACTTAGATAAAAATGTAGATCTCAATAATATAAATCTACTTGTTAAAAGAGCTATAAACACTTTAACAAGTGCATAGCGAGAGATTTTATTATGAGTTTAGAGATTAGAAATTTAATGGTTGTATATAATTTAGTTTTTTTGATTTCAATAAAAAAAAAAAAAAAAATTTATATAAATTTTTATGGTTTGAATTTTATTCAGAAGTAAAATAATTTTTCTAAATAATATTTTATTGATTTTTTATATGATATATTACATTTCTAATACTTATTACACCGTTTCACATCCTAATACTTATTACAAACACCATTTCATATCACAATGCACATGATATTCCATCCTCAATTGTGCAGAGACGCACTTTAACGTAAAAATCTTTCGGCCAGCATACAATGCCTGCCTAACATCCAAAGATGAAGCTTAACACTAAGAATTGAAAAAAAAATTTTTATTATTATATAGAATTGAAAAAAAAATTTATTATTAATGTTAATAATCTATATTTCTATTCACTATTGTACTTAAATAACCCTCCTACAATATTATTTCACAATTTCCCAATATCTTATTTAAATCCGCGAAATTTCTGAATAATAGTCGACAGATTTAACCATAACTTATTCAACCATACACTTTATTCTATAAAAAAAAACTGCTTTACCGGTGCTTGATTCTTCTGGGACGAAGGCTTGTGTGTAATTAATCATTAGATTGTGCTTTCACAAGGGCACGGGCATCTTTAAGAATAGAAAAAAGCATTTTAGTTGTATTTTAAAATATAGACAGTTATACGGTTATAAAAAAGGGCTTCTCATCTAACTTCCGAATTACTTCGCAGATTACCGAATTACTTTGACAGTTTGTAAAATAGAACATATAATTTCTAAATTTTTTTGTCTTACTCTCTCGAATTCGTATCTGTGGCTGCGAATCAATTTTTGTGGCTGAGAAACGTTACGCCAATATGAAAGATATATTGTATAATATTTCATTCGATCATCCAATCAAATTAAAGTCTGCTATGCTTGATAAACCCATGAATGTAATTTTGGAAATTTAAGTCCTGATGAAGAAAATTCTTGAAAATTTTTAACAAATTTTTTTG